CAGCACCCGCCAGAGTCTTCGAGCAGGTCCCGGCCAATGAATAACAACTGGGCGGAGCCGACCATGACGTAATTGCAACTGGGCGGAGCCCAGCTGTCAGTTGCAAGGCTTTTGCCCAGCTTCGGGCATATGCCTTTGGCTCGGCTGAACCGCTCGGCCAGCTTCGGGCACTGTACGGGCTATAGGGAATTCAATACAGGTCACTATGAGCTTGGAAGAGTGCCTAACATGCTGCTGCTGCTGTTATTGGAAAATGGTGCCGCTGTGCATGACTCCACCCACACAACCACATCATCCATTCCCAGATAATTTGACACGATTTGTGAATAGAGAAGCTACCACTACTGCAGAGAGAGTTGTATTTCTCAATGGAATACAAGTGTAGTGGCCACCTCACTTGGGATACATTCAGGGCCATACCTATAATGAGGCAGCCTGAAAAGGTTGCCTCAGGCGGCATCTCATTGAGGAGCGGCCAGTTGGGGGGAGCGTAAGGGGGGCAACCATAGTGTCCCAATTTGCTAAGAGCTCTTAGCAACCTGTAATGCTTTGTGTGGCTTCCCTCCCAGCTCACTGATGTCATCAGTTGCCAGGAGCTGCGTGGGATGCATCCAGAGCTTAGTGATGTCAGTGAGCTGGGCAGAACACTGGACAGAGCCACTGATAGCGCAATCCAGGATAACAACTACAGACCCACCATTGTGGACAGCCCTGGGTACATTCATACTTCCTCCCATTTCTGTTACTTAATGTCTGTACCTCAGTATGGACAGGGATAGAAGGGAGAATCTGCAGAAGCCAGAGCATTGCACCCTTACTGATCACAGTTAAAATGCTTTACTGGCTCCAATACAAAGAAATAATAAGCACACATTTGTTCTTTTATGAATATGTGCACATATTGGACTGTGCCTTCAAACCTGTCTTTTACAGCAAAGTTTTGATTTGTTTTTTTCTTTAGAAATTGTATGCTTGTGCTTTTTCATGACAGTTAAAACATGACAGCCTTACTTTATTTAAATTAATCCAGATTTGGTTTTAATAAATAAACAAAAATAAATAAATGCTGACACATAAAGCTGCAACCACAATGCTGACAGCTCACCTCACATAACCTTGTCATTTCATTTGAATGCAAATTATGTGATTTGAACTGATTTGCTTAAACGGTGGGAGGTATAGATTTTTTTCCACAAGGAATCAATAGAACTGGCAGCGGGTTTGTAATTGTGAGTATACGCATCTACTAATAATGATTTCTTCTTTTTTTCCTTCATTTTCTGACTCACATAGGCTCTGCATAGGATTTTCATGGACATTTTCAACATTTAGTAATGGATTTGTGTTTTAAATATGAACCTGTGTCAGAGCTAAAGTAATGCTGTCACTTTGCTCATTCAGTGAGCAATTGTCAGTTTCTGTGAAATAATACTCACTAAAGACCTTTTTAACTCACTAATACTCACCATGTCAGCAATCCCGCGCCACTGTCTTCCTTGCCATAACCGTCAAAAAATACCAGGTGCTTCCAGGTATGGTGGAGCATGTAACCTATATCCATGTGACAGTGCTTGTGTCTTGTGTCCAACAGTAGGACCAGTACCATAATAAATAGGGTGATGTCACTGCTCCCTATAGACAATTACTGGTGATTTTGCAGCAACAGGTTGTAGAATGTTGTAGATACTGTAGCCAGGTGCACTTTCCATAGTCCTGCTTGGCATTACTTAACTAGGAGCTGGATCAACTAGTCCCTACTATTGTCATTCCAAAGTGTAACATATTCTTCTGGGGAGACAAGGCTAACTTTACTATGTTCACCTACGATTGGGAAACCCTATTTTACCGCCACATGGTAGGGTCAACTGAATCTCTCTTATGTCTTACTTTAGCACTGGCCACACTTGATTCCATTCCTTCTCTTGATCACATGTACTATCTCCCAAGTGCTGGGTATTTTTGTAGCAATCAGAGCAATAGGCTATTGCAAAGTGGTTCCAGGGAAAAGAGTCCATGCACTCTCCTAAATATTTCTTACAAACCAATATTTTCAGAAGGAGGTCATTAATGGTAGATCTCTCTCAGTATATGTGCCCTTTAAGTTAACTCATAATATTTTCTGTATTGTATTATCACTGCAATATACATTTTTCAAATGTGTCCATGTTATCACTCTTAAATTGGAATTAAAGTCCTTTGGAGCCCCATTACTACTTATGACAGCTCTACCTCACTTTAACAGTGGCTGCAAACCTAAGAGGCTGCTTGGATGTGCAGGTGCAGTTTGACCAACCTGAGGTTTGTCTTTCAGCTGGTTCTCTTTTAAACTAGATGACAGTAGATATATACACTTAGCATACATATATACTGTATGACTATGGAGTGGAGCGACAGAGGGGAGCAGCCAGAACATCCAGGCAACATCCATCAAGTGAAATAGTAACAATCAGGAAACATTTTGAAATTTGCCTGATAGATCTTTTCATATAGAATGGGTCAGCCAGGGGTGTCTCCTGGTGTTCAATCTGGCTGGAAATAGCCATACCAGGTAACCATCATTGTATGTATGTGTGTATCTATATTGCTACATCATCGCTGTCTAACAAGTCTATTCACTGTATAACTTGAACTCAGCAATACAACTTTCCTTACACTATATCCACACTTGATTTTGATTATGAATAAAATTCCAATACCTTTACAGAAATATAGGAATGATATTTGCATTTTAAATCTAAGATATACTAAGCCTCCATATTTCATTGTGTTCTCTTTTTTAAATGACCTAATAGGACATGGGAAGTGATAATACATAAACATTTGTTATGTTTTCTGGAGCTGTAGCAGGACATTAATTTTACAGTGATAAAATACAGAAGGTGTCAGGCTTGAGGAGATAGGAAATAAACATTGCTAGTGAAGCAATTAATGAGACCATCTTGCAGCAAAATGTGCAGCTTCCACTATTGCTAGTGGCTGAACAGATTTGTTGTACGAGTTTAGGAGTCAACATAGCCAGTAATTTCACTCTTTCTCATGGCACTTGATTTCGCCATCTGTCAAAGTCATTGTTTCTAAATCAAGACTGATTCTAATGGGCAGCCAAGCCTGAGAACTAACGTAATTCACAAATAAGTCATAATTACTGCAAAAACCCATAGGCAATGGCTAGCATATAATAAAATTAGGGCATGGTACTCACACGGAATAACGGTCGTGATAGCTGGAGTAGGAAAACGTGTTGGTTCAGGAAAGCTGCTTTCATTGCATTTTCCACTAGATAATTTTAGGTCATCCAATGCAATTTCACTGAGACGTCCATTTGTAATGGCGTCGAATGCCACCTAGAAAATAATTCAGAGATGGTGAAATCTTATCATTTAATTACCCTTTCTTTCCCTCTTTTTATAGTCTTTAGACTTTACTGCCACTGTACATGGCAGAGTGGTGGACCTGGTGTTCTGTAGTGCCACTTTAAAATGGCACTCTGCTTACTTCTTGTGTGCCCACCCAAAGCCTGCACAATGCCTAGAACACAGGCAAAATGAATAGAACCAATCAGAGTGGCTCTGTGCCTTGTGATCGCTGTGATGGCCAATTACAGCTATCACAAATGTAAAAACTGCAAATGGAAGAGGAATTCCATTGAAAGAGGAAGGATAATTTCATGAATAAAAGGATCCTAGGGAGGTAACCAGCAGAAGATTTGGTGTGGAGGGTTTTAATACATTTTATTGTGGGATCATTTTTTACCCTCCTCTCCAGTAAATCTCATCTCCATCCTGTCTCTGTAGTGCCTATGAATTAACATCTTTACTTCCTTTATCCTGCTCATTAACCCCCTCATCTCCATCTTCCCGTTCTATGTGACCTATGTACATTAACCCCTCCACCTGCTCCTCCCTCTATGTATGACCTCAATGTTAATGATGCACTATATCTAGTGCACCATTACCAAGCTCTATGTTTTAACCACCTGATGTTTTTCTATTTCCAAAACATTGTGGCAAAAAATTAGATCGCCTTTGGTTGTCTAATTTCCAGAGGTGAGGCCATTTTGGGCTGTTTACTGTCCTGGCATTTGTATTTGATATGTTTTATAACAGAAAGTAAGAGAAACAGTTTTTTCCAATATTTTAAAATAGTAAAAAATAACAACCCAGATGTTCTTAAATACAACCAAAATAAAACTCTAAGGGGTCTATTCACAAAGCTGCCGAAGGATCTGGCCGTAGCTTCGGCCGATCAAAAATAAAATGATATAGAATTGATTAAGGCACAGTGTTGCATGGCCAAGTAAATGTTAGTTAAACTATCACAGCACTGAAAACAGGAAAAATGGCCTGGTAATAAAGGAGTATAGAAATGCTGGTACACAAGTTGTTAAAATTATATTTTATTTTTCTGTTTCGGAAAGTGGTTACACTAAACTGCTGGCTCACATCTACTTTTTGCACACCTTATAAATGATTTATCTGAAGTGTGTAACCAATTTAGACATGTGCGATTCGTTTCGTTCCGAATCGAAATTCGGACAAATTTTCGGAAATGACTGAATGACTATATAACAAAAAGTAAAGTATCAGGTGCACTAGTGTATTGGCATGCATGCACATCTTAGCCTGTGCTCAGAAGACACTGAAGTCTTTATGAAGAAATTTTTCAGTTTACACCTAATATCCCTCATTACCATCTTCATGCTTACAGGACTGCAAGGAAAGACATGTTTCATTAGGAGATTAGGCTATGCATGTGCTCTTATCTGAAAGTCTGTCAGTTCAGAAGAGGACTGGACCACTGACTGGGTATGTGTAGGCCACCACTCTTCTACCTGAATGTATATACAAGGGGGTATATTTATTATGGCAAGTGTAAGAGGTACTGTTAGGTTCACATAATTTACAAACCTGGTTATCTTTTAAGGATGTATTTGTGTTAGATCTTCTTTCAGAATTTTTTTTTTTTTTTTTTAACTTGGCATATTATGCCTTGTCATTGTTTTAACTTATGTTTGATGACCCTAATCACTTTCAACTCTTAGTAGCCTTAACTCATTAACAGGGTTATTCACAAAAGGGGTGAAAAGTTTGGAGAAGGCGGGAGAAGTGAACAATCTAGGCTAAAATAGCTGATTTGGAAAAATTCAGCTCACTTTCCAGTTTAGCTATGTTGCCCTAGATTGTTCACTTCTCCTGCCTTCTTCCAACTCTTCACCCTTTTGTGAATAGCCCTGTAAGTGTTTGAACTTGTTGTTTTTATTTTCACAATTTGGTATTAGATGTTGCTCATCTACTTTTCTTCTGTTGTTTGGGGACATTTGTGCTACCCTGAGTAACTACCTGCCTGCTGGCTTGCTGGGTATTTTGAGATAGATATCTTCTTCCATATTGTATGCAGTGGCAATTTTGCATGCTTTTGCCAGACTATGAGTTACACTGAAAGTCAATTAAAACACAGAAAATAAAATATGTTTAACTATACTGTAAAATATCTGATATGCTGCTAAGGTCATGTATACAGTGGCTTCTATTCTAACTAAAAGTTTGTACTAACAATATGTTTTTATAGTTAATGTTCTGGAATACAGAATTATATTTTTTAAATAAGACATTATATAGAAACATTTGTGTTTATAATGGTTTAAACAACACCCCATTGCTCAAAATACTGAGGTTAACAGGTTTATTGAAATCTGCAAGAAACAGATGCGTTACTTTGAATGCATTCATAGTATATTATTTCATTCAATCCTGCTCAATATTGAAAACTATGTAAAGTCTTAAAAGGTGACCTTGGACATATCATACCAACACTAACTCTAGCATGTTCTCATTTCACTCTGAAACATCTACTGAGGCTTTGTATGTGCCATTTCCCCCTATGCCCTGGTTTCTACCAAGACACATGACAATTATCTATTTCTTTAAGGATAAATATTCAGAATAGGGGTCAATCATATTATTATGGAATTAAATAAAATAATAATGAGACTTACCGCTATTTCAGAAGTTTCATTTAGTGTGATCTGGCCAGGATTCCAGTTCTTGCCGTAGTTCCCTTCTTTAGAGAAAATAACTTGTTCATAGCCATTTCCAAAAACTTTTAGAACATTTAAACGGAAAACATTGGCTCCATACATGAAGTACCTAGAGTTAAAATATATTATCACATATATTACTTAATTACAATGCAGCAAAGTGGATATTTTAGATGGATAGATGATTCATATTGCAGGGCAAAACACTCAATTATGTGGATTAGTTAAGGACCACGTGCCAGTTTATAGAAGTGCTAATTATGATAAACCCACAATCCAATCCCAGCCCCTAAACTGTGAACCCCCATTTGTGCATGCACAGGATTCAATAAGGATCCTACTTTTTGAGTTGCCCTACCTAGTGTCATATAATATGCCCAGTTAGAAGGTACTATACTTCCTCTTTATGGTAACACCCAAAATAAACAATTTTACTTCCTTGTTATGTACATTTCAAATGCCCACTGCAACATAGTTTAAAGGGAAATTTCCACCAAATTAGCTGATCTTACAAATCAAGGTCCATGGGTTAGAATCAGAAAGCCTGTGCAGCACTGGGTTTATTGTAACCAATAAAAATGATAACTCCTTTATTAGTTTAATGTGTTTAGTGTTGTCATGTCCAAGCTGCACTTTCTATCTAAAGTAATTCTAGGGCATCACATGATATACCATGCACAATTTTTTAGTAACTTCTACTATACAAAATAGCATAATGACACCTTTCATTTAATACTACCGTACTAACAAAAGCAGTGATTATAATAAATATATTTTACAGCCCAACCACAACTAAAGATTTTTTTTCTTTAGTTGTAGTCGGGCTTTTGCTGAAGACACAATAGAAAGTGAAAGCAAGTCTTTCTAAAATGAGGGGAAATTCCCCTTTTGATAGTTGTCACTGGAACAGCTGTATCCATTGGAACACATTTCCCCTCATCTCCTGTTTTTTGTGACAGTTGCAATATTTTGGACCATTAGACAGGACAAGTGTCCCCAGCAGGGACACAAACGACAATAAAAACCTCAAGGGTTTTCAATAAGTCCCTACTCTATCCAACACAGAAAGATAGGTTTTAGCTTTAGATATACTTTGACAAAGATGTCAACACTTTGTTAAGATCCAGTAAACAGGCTCATGGCGGGTTTCACCAGCATCTGCGCATTGTTTGCTGGTCTCACTATGCAATTCCAAAGTCCGCTTGCCGTATTGAAAACATTTATGTTAGTCCAGATCTCGCTTAGCTCAAAGGTAGCACTCAACAGAAAGGGGCATGTTTGCTACGTGACCTTAGAATTCATTAGTTACTGAATGTTGTGCTCACAAATCAAAATCTTCCAGATATGGTTTGCAAGGTTTTATTAAATCCAGATGCTGACGTATTTTGCTGTGTCCTACATTTCCTTAATTAATACAGCTTATGTGCTGCTTATTTATGCAGGAAAACGAGAAATAGAAGTGGCAGATCATATTATTTTAATACAAGGTTTACATGATTAAGTAAAATTACTTTTCTGTTTATGCTTGAGCAGACTAGTTAACCTTTTAAATAATGTTAATTAGATGTCTTTAGAGAATGGCATTATTTTCCGTTTATATTTTTTTTAATGTTGCATCTTACCAAAAACTAAGACACAGTGGTTCTGAGGCTGGGATTAAAGGTAGACTTGAAAGGCGAATTCTTGTATCAAATCCAGGCATTCGTGGAGTTGTTATATAAAAACCTAAAGTAAATATAAAAATGACAGATATGAGTTAGGTTGTAACTGAACTTATGTTTAATGCGTAATTGTACTTTTGATACTAATTGTGCCCCCCACCCCCATACCATCTGGATCACTGAGAAATATTTAAAAAACTGCTGCTGACCCACTGCTAAGCTTGCTCACAGACAATAAAACAATAATAACTCCACCTATTGGGGAAAGGAGGAATGAGGGAAGCTAAAATAAAAAGAGGATTTTACACAGTTTTCACAGCTGCTTTACAGGAATTGCTAAAGAGATGTGATACAAGAGAGGGCACAATTAAGAGATTATAACTTCCTGAATACACATGTAAGTTTAGCTGGGATAGAAACAGTCACTTTAACCAGTTGACATCCGCGCTGTTAAACCCCCTTCCCATCCAGGCCATTTTTCAGTATTCAGCGCTGCGGTACTTTGACTGACATTTATTTAAAAGCTTTTACCGCTCATCAGTTTAGTGTTATCAGTGATTGATGGCCCTAAAATTATTGCTCTCACTGCTACATTAACGGCGATATGTAACGTGTGTAGCGCAATTGTCGTTTTTGCGCACTGGTGCACCGGACGCATAAACTAGCACATATAGACGATCTGCAGGCTATAGAGCCGCTGATCGTCTATATGTGAAACACCCGGTAATGGGTGTTTGCATTGCACAGGTCTTTTCCGCCCGTGTGCACCCACTAGGGGGCGCTCGCAAGCAGAAAAAAATGCCGTCTGGAGGCAACCCGTCTGGAGGCAACCCACCAATGCAGCAGTGCCATCTGTCCGTTTTTATTACAACGTACGGACGGCAACTGGTTGAAAGAACTACAGTAAAAAGGGCATTTTCCACTTGGTACGGAAGTCAATTTTCAAATGGGAAGAAAGCATTACTTTAAAGTAGATGTAAACTGTAGGTAGGTGACATTTAGGGGTCTATTCACAAAGCTGCCGAAGGATCTAGCCGTAGCTTCGGCCGATCCTTCGGCTAGCTTCGGCCCCAGGACCCCTTTGGTTCAGTAGAACCGAAGGGGTGCTGTACGGGCTAATCACTATAGCCCGTACAGCTCCCGAACCTGGCCGAGCGGCTCAGTCGAGCCGAACGCATATGCATCGGCTCGGCTGAGCCGTGCTGAAAGCCGAAGCTGGCAGAGCGGCCGGCCCACAGGCCGGCCGTCAGCCTGCTTCTGACAGCTGGGCGGAGCCAGCCGTGATCTTACGGCTGGCTCCGGCCACTTACAGAGAGATCAGCGTCCCTGGTTACCTGCTAACCAGGGACACTGATCTCCAAACAGCTAACTCTCCCTGGCACCCCGGGAGTCTCCTGCTCCCGGCCGCCAAGGAGAGAAACACTGCTGTGTCTTTCGTTTTCTTTATCCTGACACGGAGCCCATTCAAATACATTGCTACATTACTATTGGCTATTGCAAATTGAAATAGCCAATAGTAATGTAGCAATGTATTTGAATGGGCTCCGTGTCAGGATAAAGAAAACGAAAGACACAGCAGTGTTTCTCTCCTGGGCAGCAGAGCCGCCGGACAATAGGAAACTATTGGGCGGAGCTAGCTGTCACTGCTAGCTCCGCACAATCGTTTTCTATTTACTTTTTTTTAACTTTTTCTAACTCTTTTTCTGTTCTGCTCGGTCCCTCTGAGGGACCAAGCAGAACAGCCGAGCCGAATGCCGCTCAGCGGCATTCGGTTATTCACTCACTGCTGTTCGGCATCTATGAGAATAGACCGAGCAGCAGTGAGTAGCCTGCCAGATGTCGGCTGAGTCGAACTCCTTCTGCACTTCGGGTCGACCCGAAGCCATGTGAAGCAAGCTGATGTACGGCTGAAATCAGCTGTACCAGCCTGAAGTGAATAGCTGAACAGTGTTCGGCTCACTTCACTTCAGGTCGGTCATTCACTCGGCTGCCTAGTGAATAGACCCCTTAGTGCCATACATTTTTTTAACCTTTTTAATCCTTTGTTTTGTCTCAGCGCTGTTGCAGCTCTTTGCAGCCACTTCCTGTTTACATACATGCACTCCAATGATGGATGGTGACAACAGTGGATCATGCCTGCACAATATGTTTTGAATGGCCAACTGTAGATTCCATCTGAAGCCCATGTGACAGGGTGACAATGTAGTGGCACAATCCTGAGACTAGGACAGAGTATTGTCCCACTTTAACAGAAAGTGCCCGAACAGGGGCCTTACATTAACATGTTAAAGCTTGTATTTTATTGATTGGGTTTACATATACTTTAATTACCCTTTCATGATTATACAAATAATTCTTACAAATGCATGCATTCCCTTCAATAAATAGAAATGAAAAAAAAGGAGCCCTGTCCAACAATAAACACTATTGGTAATAGCGTGCAATTACAAAAATCCATTAAGGGCAAATATTATTTAATTTGGCATGTTTTACTATATTGCTTTCTTCACTGAGGCAGAATGAAGTGAAATCCAAAGCATGAAAAGCATGCCACAGCTGGTCCAATTATGTTTGCTTGGTTCACAGTAAAGAGAAGAAAAATTACACCACACATATAGGCTCCAAGACAAACCATTTGCCTGATTTGTATCCATTACTGGATATGCCAGGATTTATTTTTTACAGCCATTCAAATGCTTCAGGAAAAAATTAATGATCCAATGTGACATAAAAGAATTGTGCAAGAGGATGAGATTTCTTTTTATACAAATAGTTACTTACAGATAATCTGAATCTCCTACAACATGTTGGAAGGAAAATCTCTTTAAAAATCAAAGCTTGTTTAAACAAAGTTTGCATAAAAGAATAGACATTGGCTGTTATTCAGCAACAATCATCCTTTAATAGAGGACCAACAAGCTGTTGAGGTTTTCAATATTCCAGACTGCCGCATGGAAGAATAGTGTGGCATTATGGTGCCCTGTCACAGTAAAACAAGGGTTTTGTGTCACCCGTGGTTCTCACACATGTGGGTTGAGGGGCTCTGTGATGCTTGTTTTGTATGGGGAGATTGGATTTTCAGTCTTCTTTAGGATTAGTAAATCCTGGTATGGATTCTGAAGCCCAGAGGCTTTCTAGAGTACCGGCTGGGACAAAGCCTCCAGCCCTTGGTCCATGGTTTTTTGATGACCAGCATCTTGATAGTGCAGCATTGCACAACTCTTATGTTGGGAGGCAGATCAGAGTTCAGGGATGATCCACCCGAAGGGGCAGGGGAGGTCTTTTTCAAGAAGTTTGGGTGTGGGCCAGCACAGCAGGAAGCTTTGAGGTGTATACATAGAGTGGCAAAACATCAGACAGATGATTTCCCCTTCTGACTTAATTCTAAAGATAGGTGTAAAATATTGGATTACCCTTCACTTTCTCAGTGACAATGATCACCAGAACAAATAAAGGGGTGAATCTCTAAAATAGGTACACAGACAGCAATAAATACTTGACAGGGGGTGTAACCCTTCCCCACTCTATCCAAAACAAAAACAAAGGATTTGCCTAGAGATACACTTTAATAGAGAATTAATGACCTGATTCCTCCACCAACACAAACAGTGTGTCGATCGAGGAATCCCGCTGTTTACATTGTATTCTGACAGGTGCCACCTGTAAGGATACCCGATCAGAGCTGGCAGCTCATTGGCTCTCGGCTCTGATCACTCAAAAGATTTCAAGCTGATTGAGGAATGCCGGCTGAAAGGGAGCTTACAGCCCCACACACTGTGCAAATTTTGGCCGGTACATTAAAAACCTGCCGAAATTCGACCAGTGTATAGTCACCTAAAATGTTCTGTTCCAAAAGGTAATAACTAGTGAATAAATTAAAAAATCAGGAATAACTAATATGTGTAAATTTTTTTGTGTTTCAATGTGTGCAGTCTGGTTGGAATCTTAATATTCATGAATCACAATTGCCAGGATTCCTGAATTCCATGACTTTCTACATATTGCAATGATCTACGTGAAAACATTCAAGTGACTCCTAAATTTTGCAGTTTGCAGATTCTGCTGGTTCCATCATCAAAGCCAGATTATATGAAATCCATAAATGCCGGTTTTCTACATTCAGTGCTATGAAGGTGAAGCTTTTCCTAACACCTCTTCTGGGATTTAATAAAATATGCTGTTATGCTGTATATATAACATAGGTACATAAATGGAACCATTGGATGCCAACACTTTTTTGTGCATTAGTGTTTACTAATAGATGAAAGATTTGTGACTATTCAGTTGTAATTAATTTACTTCCTTCTCTTACTTGGACCTAGTGATTTTTTTTCTGCATCAACAAGTTATTAACATACAAAATGCCTCACACTAGGTCACCAACCATCATCAGTAGACATGTGCGATTCGTTTCGTTCCGAATCGAAATTCGGACGAATTTTCGGAAATTCGGACGAATTTTCGGAAATTCGGACATTCGGATGTATCCGAATTCCGAATTGCAGACATAACGAATGCAAACGAATCCGAATTTCCATTTCCAAAATTCGGTAGCGTTAGTACGAACGTTCGTTTTGTTTTCTGTTCTTATTCGTTTCTTATTCGTTTCTTATTCGTTTCGTTCGTTGGAGCAAAGTGACATTAGAGAAGGAGAAAAATATTTTTTCCCCCTCAAATGTCACTTTTGCTGCAAACGAACGAAACGAATAAGAAACGAATAAGAACAGAAAACGAAACGAACGTTCGTACTAACGCTACCGAATTTCGTCCGAATCCGAATTCCGAATCCGAATTGACTTTCACACCCGAATCCTGAAAAACGAAATAACACAAATCCGAATTTAAAACGAAACGAAACTAAACACATTTTTTGGCAGTGCACATGTCTAATCATCAGTATTGTTACACTGAATCTGTTTCTTTAAAATTTTACATTTCAGTTCATAAAGTACAATCAAAGATTGATTTGCTGTTGCACATCGGTTGCATGTGTCTAAATCTATTTAATTGTCTAGTTGAGATTTCTCTGCATATCATTTTGTTTACTTGCAGGTGATTCTAGATAATTAACCTTATCATGAGTGCATTGCCCATGGGTGAGCAAGAGAACATAATTTTACACCATCCTGCTGCTCTCTCCGTTTGCTATTCAAGGAGACTTTTTACTGGTGCTGCAGGCTGTGTTACACTGAGTTTCCTTTAATGATCCAGGATCACCATGTTAAATGAGAAAGTCAACACTGTATAAGTGATACCTGGGCTCACTTATAGCAAGATTAATGATAAAAAAATTTAATGAAAGAGACTGTTGGTTCATCTTGGGGCTTTTAGCTCCCCAGTCAAAGAAAAAGAGGCAATCTAGTCTTATGGAAAAAGTTTAAGATATACAGACATGCACAAAACCCTTGCCAGTGTGTGGACCACATTCCAATATTACACACAGAGTAGATATATTAAAAAGTGCTAAATACAGTATATGATTTTTTTTTCAATGAATACTGCAAACAGATAAATGAGGCTCTTGCCCCTGCTGACATCTTCTTCTAAAAATGAAACCTCGGTAACCTCTGTAACTTCTGTAACCTGAGGTCTCCAGAGCTGTGGTGCACAGAAATGAATGAACTATCACTTTATGACATTTCAGTAAGTAAAAAAAAAAGATAAACAGTGCAGTTGTAAAAACGCAAAGCACCATCCCCCTCCAGCAGCATGCACAGACACCAGTCTGCATGCTAGAATGGATTGTTTAAGCATGTGGGCTGGAGTGACTGAGCTCTAACTGACCTAGAAAAGGTGTGCAGGTTAGGTGTTCTGACTTTACTCTGATTTTGCTTTTCTGGATGCTTGTTAAGGTGGCCATACACTGTACAACCACCGCAAGACCTTAGTCTTGCGATGGTTGTAAAGTGATTAAAAAAACGTACTATCTGCCCATCTTGGACAGGCAGATCGTACTCTCGATCATCGCAAGCCCGCCCCCCCCCCCCCCCCCCCCCCCCCCCCACGTGCTCCTTAGACAAAAGACGTGCGACCATACAGTAGAAACGGTTGCACGTCTTTGTTCACACTGCTCGATTCTCATACGATCGCGGGATTGAGCAGTGTATGGGCACCTTTAGTGTGGCTAAAGACAGCCACTTGACTTGCAATTTCAGAAGGAGATCAGCAATGACATTCTACAAAGCAGAATTGTTATTGTGCCAAGGACAGCTGTTTACTATGAGCCAGGCTTACGCTGTCAATTTAGTGCCTCTCCAATTTACAGACAGCGTATTGCTATCCGTTTTTCTCCAAAGGATCTCATAGGAAGGAAAAAAGGACTTCCTCCAGAAGGTCACTAACTCTGGTTAACTTTGACTCCAAGTTATTTTCATCTTGCTGCTCTTTCTTAGAGCTTGTTATTTCTTGCACACTCTTCTGTTAAGCTGGCCATACACCTGTAGATTTTTCGCAGGTTATCTATGGTCAGATGGAAAAATGCAACAGATTCCTCCATCTACGCTAAACTGTGTGCATGGAAGAATCTGCCTCTGGGCCAAACTTCAGTATCTTGCTGATCTGCCCTGCTGGGTCTCAAAACACCTGAACAAGGCCTGCATCCAATCAGATTGTTCAGCTATTTTGTCAGCCAGTGGAGCCAACTAGCAAGATACTGAAGCTTGGCCCAGCGGGAGATTCCTTCATCCACACAGTTTAGAATAGGTGGAGGAATCATTTGCACTTTTTCCATCTGCCATAGAAAATTTGCAGAAAATCTATAGGTGTATGGCCAGGTTAAGCCTTTGTTGCCTCTGTTTTTTCCTGCAGTTTCCTGCATTGCATTGAGACAGGCCCTGTCCATAGTGTGATAGGTGTAATAGAAATCCACAGAACTGGATTTTGTGAAAAAATATAGATTTTAAACTATAGACTAAAGGAAAAAATTCCAAACTGGTGCCAATCAAGCCAACATTTATCAACAGGCGCTTTCTCTGCTGGGCCTTGCACCCTACTCTGGCAACCAGGAACTCTGCATGGGATAAGGGCAGGCAAAACCCCTGGAAGAGCACAGCCAAAGGTGTTGTGCATAATGGCTTATTTTGTAACAATGTAAAGAGGAAGTTCAGTTAATGCCTACAGTTAATCATTTACTGTACACAGTCTACGCTGACCTATGACTGGTTGTTCAAGTTACTCTAAAACATAGCTCTTGTAGCATATAATAAAAGATGATTATTTTTTCTCTGTTTTATGTATTAAATAAGCAGAATCTATGAACATTTCAACCAACATAATTGCAAATAAAAAACGAAAATTTACCAGATTCATTTCCAAATGTATGGTCAACATCAGGACCAGATGTTGGAGGAGAACTCGGGCCACTGTATCTTATCCATTCTATCCACTCTTGATCAATTGTTATAGTTTGAATCCAGAAGCAAAATCCATCTTCAAAAGTGCAGTTTATTCTCTCTTCATCTTGGGGTAAAAAAGATGATAAAAGAATATGTTTTTTAAACTTGTTAGGGAGGCTGTACAGCAATTTATCTTTCCATGTCTTGGAGTTGTACAATGGCAGCATCCAGCACTCTTTGCTGATATGAACAATACATGTTTTATTGGAATGTTTTGCTTTTGGGGTCATTCACACAGTGTGCTTTATTGTGTGCACTGGTATCCAATGTAAAAAGGTGCTTCTGTGTGCTGCAACGCATTACTAAAAGTGATTGCTTCCTTCTCTTTTTTTAACTTCTAAGTAATTCCAGTGTTGCAATGCACTACAGAACGTCGTAATGCGCTGCACAAAGATGCAACATGCCCTATTTTATCTTTTCAGAGCACAGCAATGCAGCATGCTGGTATAAACTGAGGCCATAGGACATGAAGCAAATTGCCTTGTTCTTGTATTGGGCTGTGTTGGGCAATGCTGGTGGTGTAAATGAACCCTTAATGCCCAATGCCAGGAAACCACTTACTGCCCTGTTGAAATACATGTATTCAAGCTATTTTATGTGGCAACGTATTTGTATTTCTATCTGGTGGGATTTACACAGCCCTACTAGATAGCACAATCAGCTTGGGGACCTGACTTTTCTCTATTGTAGTTAAGTATTATAGTCAGGTCAACTTCCTGCTTCCAACATGTGATTGGTGATTAAAGAGCAGCTGTAGTTAATACAGAACTTTTCTCCTTATGTTTTGGAGACTAGGACGGGGGAAGGTGTTCTGTAGTCCAGCAGAGGAGAACTTAATTAGGTCTGAATACACTGCTCAGGATTTCAATGCAGAAAAGGCAGCATTATGAGATCAAACATAAAGTTAGGAGCTCACTGGATTTCTGGCAGGATCCACAGTTATTTTGCGGCATTATTAAAGGGAAAAACCTGGGGAATGTGTATGTATTGCAGAAATTTGCTGGATTTTTTTTTTTTTTGCGAGGACATACTTTAACGTGCAGTTGAGCTTTTGGGTTTTATTTTAAATACAAAACAAACAACAAAGCCTACACATGGAAACAGCATACTACATCACATCCTATGCATAGAAATATACAGTATCTTGGCATGTGGATATATCCAGAAAAAAACAAGAAATAAAAGACATTAAGCAAATGCATTTTATACAGTCTTACTGTCTTCATTGCTTGACAGCCAATGTTATACAACGTTCCTTATGAGTCTTGCACTAGAATAATCAGGGTTGTTAACTAGAAAATCCCATAGCTTTATGTATGTCCAGCCAATTTTTTTTTAGTTTTGGATAGAGTGGGTGGGGATTAGAACCCCTGTCATTTGTATACCGCTTCTGTGGCTTCATTAGACACATTTACCCTCACTTTTTGTTCTTCTGACAATGTTTTACCAGATTGGAAGGGAGGGTGACTCACCAACTGCAACACAAACAGGAACAAATGTTTTTGTTTTTTTAATAGAGTAAGGGAAGGCTAGAACCCCTGTCAAATTTTTACTTCTATCAAGAACAGATGGGGTGCCACTCATCCGTTTTCAATTAAATTCACTTAAGGTTCCCTCCTCCAGTTTTCTGTGTGGGAGCAGCCACACCAACGTGTTTAAATACTTCAAAGGATAGAGTCACTCCCAATGTGGTATACCAAAGACAGAGTTCTTAGCACCTCTCATTTACATACTCATACACGTTTATATTTCTGTCAGTATTTAGCTGCAGATTTCCCCTCAATTCCTGTCTGGGAAAATATTGTCAGGAGAACAGGAAGTGAAAGTAGGACTCTTTAATGGACAGCAGGATAGCAGTAAAAACTCAAGAGTAATCCTAACTAGGGATGTTCAGATACCAGTGCCGATACTTGGAATTTTCACGAGAACTACCAGGGTTGCAGCGATTGCAGCTGGGACCTGGCTCTGGCGCTCCACCACTGTCCTGAAATCATTAGTCTGTATCGTATTAGAAAAACTGTCACATGACAATAAACTGGAATGTATCGGTTTTTGTATTGTGAGTACTTGGACAAGTATTAGTACTTGTAATTAAAAATAATTGTATTGGTGCATCCCTTATATATATTTATTAAACAAAATCATACATTACAACAGAGATGTACAAATCCCAGGAGCTCCGTATGCTCCTTACAAAGGACAGCTGCCTCCCAACTTAAGAAATTTTCTCTATCTAGTCCTGGAGTTGAAAAAGTATCTGTATTTGTACTTGTATGAGTACGATACTTGGTATCTGAACATCCCTAATCCTAATCCTTCCTGACTCCATCGAAAGCTGGAAAAAAAAGATTTTGGATTCACATACACTTTAATGGTAAGATTTTAGCTATAGTTGAATGATGCCACTCTCATCCACTGAATTGTCTTGAAATATAATCGCTGTTTAGTTATGTTTTTAAAAACCAGAGCAGACAGTTCCACATTTTGCCCCCGCGATTGAACTTCTGCAGTTTACTTTATTATCCATTTCCATTGTTCTGATAGTAATCCACACCAGACTAAGAGATCAGCTTTAAACTGGGACCTCTTTAAAGCTACACAGTGGTAAATATTGATATATTTATAACAATACAATATCTAATAAAATGAAGGAAGGAGTATTTACTTTTGGGAACAAAATTCCCTCTCTTCAGAATTGTGTTTATTTTAACCTTTCAGGGAGGCACATATATTTCAACGGTAATGGTATTCCTCCGAATAAATCTGCGGCGCTGTTTTTGTTTTAAAAGCACTTTAGGAGCCATAAAGAGGATAACTGATGGTATACCAATACCAACTTTAGTGCCCCACTATATAAAAAAAGGTTGAAACTTGAATTTCTATTAACTCTACTATATAGTTTTATCACAGGGAATCATATAGCCGAGTAATATCGCCTCAGCAGAGTTGAGGCTTGGGCAATTTTAAATAAACATAAATAAAAAAGAGAGAACTAAAGGCCATAAACTCCAATTTAAGTGACTTTTGATAAATCTCAACTGCGACTATAAAATTTTGCCTTGTAAGCACTTAAAATGTTGCTGCTGCAAGGATGGATGTTGGACAGAAAATGCTGTTCTCAATTTGCAATGTATATGAATTGAATATCAAAGAGAATAATCAGCTTTTCAAGGTTATAAAAATAGTGTTATGGCCACAACATGCCAAAGAAATGGTCTCTGTTAATGCTTACCCACTACAAGCTTAAACTGAACATCAGAAAGCTCAGAAATAGAGAGCTCAACAATTTATAACAGTGAATTATAACTTTCTGCCTGCCCTTTCAGTATGCCAGACTTGATTATTAAAGTTTTAAAGGCAGCGTAGGGTATGGTCTCTACCCCATCCTATAGTTTGAGAGGTGGAGTGCCTGAAGATGCTGCAGGTCTCCAACAGCAAATAGCATTGTGTCATGTGATTAGTGTTAATAGGGTCCAAAATCATTTTGCATAGAGGCACTTTATACTGAAGTTATAATAAGATGCTTAGAACTCCAAGGAAGAAAAACCTGTACCTTTGCAGTGCCCCCCCTCCCCTGCTCTGAAAGGGTTAACCAATCTTTTTGTCTATAGGATGATAAATATTGTCAAATACTTACCTTACTTCCCACTCCCCTAGCAGCTAGAGCTCTCCTCTACACTCCAGCATTCCCAGGATGTAGGCCGGCCCTCCCGGTACCTCACATACAATGCAGGACTGCTGGTCTAGCATTGTATGGGTTGATGTCTCAGTGAGGAAATCAAAGGGAGTGACTTCATTATTCTTTAGTCAAAACAAGCAAATTGTCCTTGCAGAAGAGGACCCACTGCAAGGGTAAAAGCTGTTTTTTTCTGAAGTTCAGCTTTATTCTTCGCCAGAAAAACCAACAAATGGATCCATCCACAAATAAAGCCAAACCTTGCACTATACTACCGTGATAGACAACAATCTCAGTACAAATTAGTAAACTAAACATGAGGTTGTATTCTATCACGGTAGTGAGCTTGAAGTGGTGGCTACATTACAACACACACAGGGACCATGGGGAACAAAAGTAGCCACCCCCCAGAATTATGGACAGTGTCAGCATCAATTCAGAGATGATTTGAGGATCTACAGCCAAGTGATACAAAAATAAGAAACATTTTTGTTAATAGTTAAAGTACTTGAATGCTTTTTAAGATTTAACTCCTGAGTTTAATGTAATTTTAAGTGGTGTTTTATTTTAAGTTTAGTGACATGTAGGGAAACTTAGATTTTTTTAACTTGTTTTCAATGCTAAAAGCATTGAAAACTACAGCCACAAGCACCTTAACATAATGTATCAAATCACTTAGCTATTTTTCCTCAGTTGGACCCTGGAAGTCACAAAACCATGCACAGTCATAGAATGCATGTCAAGGATAACAAATATTGTTATGTAAATGGCTCATTTTATCTGTCACTTATGTCTGTGCCTTGATTGAAAGTAATTTTAAAACGATAGCATATCATTGTTATTCTTAGTACATATGTTCAGGAAATATTGCTTCTTTTCAGCTGACAAGTACCACATTTAAAATCAGAAAACTAGTTTTGCCATCTTTCCAAACAGCACAAAACAAACTCTTGTTCTGCCAAATTCATTAGTGAGCTGCAGAAACTAAGCCAAAAATAAAACATGCTGAAATATTGAAAGGTGCTTTACTCTGTCTAGCTAAGCCATTCAGCAAGTGCAGAAGGCAAGCTTATTTTAGAAATAGGAGTTGCAAATGCCAGAACAACAGGTCCTGATCTAAAGCGTGTTGGAAACTGGCTCTGGGGAACATTACCCTATAACAGTGTTCTTCTGATTATTTATCAAAGCCAGCACATTTTGCCTGCCTAGAAACTGGGAGTAATAAGCACAAAGCCTAAATGCAAGCTTATAGAAATGCTCGCTTTAGCACTACCAATGATTTTCTTTTTAAGGACTATGATGCTGCAGTGTTTTAAAGAACTCCAAGTCAGGAAACAGTGTAGATGTGCTGTATTTTCAAAGCCCACAGTTACATTTAGCCTTAATTACATATGGTACATTGCAGACAGATTCAGAAGGCTTTTCAAAGTGCTTCTATGGGCAATTGCAGCTACATTAGTCTGTGCAGTGCATCTTGCCTTTCTGAAAATTACAGAGGGCAGTAATTAAAGCTTGGAACCTGTCTTTGGAGATTCAGGGCCATACAGAAACCAGAGACAACTAAAGGTCTTGCTCTTACCTAACCCTATTTAAAGCTGCAGTTCTAGTTTTCTTTTAGATAACAACAGAATTTTTTTTTTTTTTTAAGGTGAACTGTGCTGATAACTTTACCCTACCGCTAATAAGGTGCTAATTATACTAATTATTGGGTATACACCATTAACTTATACAAATATAAAAATACACACGACATACAGCGTAAAAACAGTTCATTGTAAAATAATGAATAGATAATACTTTCAATATTACCATCTTTAAAACAGGTACACTGGTGTCCATGTATCAATAGTTTTATTATTCCATAATCTGCTTCATGAATTGGTATTTGCAAAAGCCAAACAATCCAAAAGTTTTCAGAAACTTTACAACTTCAAGTGATTATCTTTTGTTTGTTCTCCAAAACAATGCTCTTGTGCTTTAAATTGGTATGGTCAAATGCACTTGGTAATAAGAATCCTCACTGCCCCTTAATAGGTCTGCCCATCAGTTTTCCACATCAACAGGGCTATTCACAAAAGGGTGAGGAGTTTGGAGATGGCAGGATAAGTGAACAATCTAGGACAACATACTGTAGCTGATCTGGAAAGTGAGCTGAATTGAAGAATGTTTCTAAATCAGTTATTTTGACCCTTCACCCTTTAGTGAATAACCCTGCCAGTCTCCGATGGAGTTAAGTAAAAAAGAGGAAGAGGATACCATCGTGTAAAACCAAAGCAAAGTATTCAAAGATAAAACAGTTTACAACAGTCTAAAAATGCTCCCATAATGAAGTGCTAAACAGCCCTTTTACACTTCTTAGCAATCTCTCTTCATTCAAGCAGCAGCTGATGGCAATGTGATGCCATCAGCAGTTAGCTGGCTGACATCATCACGTTACCAGGAAGTGATCAGCTGCTGCTACAATTCCAAGAGAGGTTGCTAGGAGTTTGTTAAGAGATCATGATAACTGGCATGACCTGCTTAGGAGAGTTGATCTTCTACCCTGTGTGCCTGCGCTGTTCCAATGTCAATGTCACTCAGCAAAGCAGATACAACATGAGCATCTTTTTTCATCTTAGAAGTAATTAACTAAACAATGCCAAGAGACCCTCTTAGTTATTAGCAAGGAGGCATTCTTTCCAATGACTACAAAGTCAGGGGCATTTTTTTTTCCTATTGACCATAAATAACCATTAATGTAAAGGGGTGCTTCTCTACTGAGCACCAATGCAGGGGAGACTTTCTCTTACTAACCACTAATGTAAAGTGGCACTTCTCTACTCACCCCCATGGTAAAGGGGTGCTTCTTTATGAACCACCAATTTAAAGGGGCCCTTTCCTCAGTGACCACCAATGTAAAGGGTCGCATCTCTACTAACCACCAATATAGCGGGGGGAAGGTGTTTTCTCGCTGAGCATTAATATAAAGGGGTGCTTCTTTAGTGACCACCAATGTAGGGGTGGCCTTTTCTCGCTGAACACCAATATAAAGAGGCGCTTCTTTAATGACCATCAGAGTAAGGGGGCTCTTCTCCCACTTATCACCAATGGGGGAATGACCTACTCTCACTAACCACTAATGTAAAGGGGTGCTTATGTACTGACCACTAGTGTAAAAAGTACTCATCCCACTGACCACCAATGATACAGGGAATTTTTCCTCCCACTGTAACCAAAAAAAGGGACCATATGTAAGGGCATTCTTCCTCCATCTGGTCATGGAGACATTGAGCAGTAAGCAAGTAAAATTGTAAAAATTATGACAAAATCACTCTTACACCGAACAATAGCTTGGTAAAAATGTATTGCTGTTTTTGTAAGCAGCTTTAAATGCTGTATTTAACAGTAATTTAGTCCAGGATGTGTTAAAAAGTACTAGTGACAGTTTTTGTAAAGAACCATTCTAGCTATAAATATGGTAACAGCAGTAAGACTGTAAAAATAGCAAAATCAACAAAAGCGGGATAAATTGTTATGGTACTTGTAGGCATGCAAGTGTATGCATGTATATATTTATGGGATCCCTGAACCTATCTAGTTGACCACACACTGATGTTCAGCTCATTACCTAAACATTGAAAAAAGGAAAAGCAATTAAATCAAATGTGAATGCACCAAGCAAAGCAGTAGATTTGCAAAAAAACCTATACACCATACTTCTAGATTTTAAAACACAGAGTAAGTACAGATATTCCAGTGATAAATACCAATGTATGAAATCTTATAATCCAGCTAATGTGTGCACTTCTATGCAAATGCAAAGAGATGTGCATGCACAATATAATACCTCCCCATGTACTGTTCATTGACGGTTCATTGGGGCAACTCCAAAAAATATGTTGACTGTAGTCATTCCAACTTTGCACTAATAAATTTAGATTTTTGGATTCCACAATTGGTGTAGCACTCACATTGTGCTTCTTAACATCTGAATTTCTCCCATGACACTCCCTGAGGCCCTCTGGTGTATGTGAGATGCCTTAGATAGGACAATGTGTTCCATGAATTAGACCTAATTCATGAAAATTGAATAAAATAGCACAAGATCCAATGACTCATATCTATACTCTTCCTTAATTCTCTCATGACACTGGTCTTAATATAAATTAAACAAACTTCACATAGCTCTACATGGCTCATACCTATTACATCACCCAGTTAAACACCAGGCAAAACCTTTGTTTTAGTTTTGGATACAGTATGGAAGGGTTAGAACCTTTGTCAGCGTTTTTTCTGCATTGTTCCTACAAGAGAGATTTCTCTTTATTCCTGTCCTAAATACACTACAGGAAGTGAATGAAACTCCCAAAAATGATGGTAAATACCACATTTGTCAGTTTTTACTTAAACCAATTTCATCCTCTAAAAATATTCCTTCTACTCTTTGAATGAAAATATACTTACTAGGTATACTGCTGTTGGTAAAAGATGTGTAGAAAGCTTTAAAGCCTGGCCGGCCATATGACATGGAATCAGTTACAAACTCTATTGTTGCTTGATTAGAAAAAATCCGAATTATCCCAGGATTTGTGGAGCGATCATGAAAAGCTAAAAATAAATGCAGAGCAAAAACTCATTATGTAACCGTTAACAAATTGGAGTATCCAGTGTTCAAAACTACATTGATGTTAATTTTGCGCACAAAAGATAGTCATTATGGAAAACATGACTTCAATGTAATTGCTTCAACCTGTTTACCATGCAAATTCTGACAAAGTTTTTCATTAAAAAAACTATTACAGTGATACCAAATGCCATGCTCTTTGAGGTGCTTGAAAGGTGTCCTTTTAACTTACTGCAGTACGCTAACTATTACACTGGCTGTTTTTTTGCCTTGGTTGAATACATTATAAAGAATACAATTTCTCAGTTGTGAACTGAATATATTTTAATAGTGTGATGCAATTCACAACTACATTGTAATAGCTAAATGGCTGTAATATTATTATGAAACCGAATTCACTGGGATGTCTGTTATTGGCTCAAATCTACTGAATGTATGAAATTTGCTAATTAATTTTACATTTTATGCCTCATTAAGCTCTTGTGTGGAATCAACTAAATATGACATTAAAAGTAAAAACAAATTTAAAAAATGTAGAGGAGGGAAAGAGAACCACAAGGTACAGGTGAGAAGAGTAGATGGCCCACAAGAAAGGAGAAGGGTGGAGAAGGGAGGGCAAGAGAGAAGAGGAATAGGTGAGGGGAGAAGGGATGCAAGGATAAAAGAGGAGAGGGAGGCAAAAAGAAGAGGGTATGACAGGTTAGTAAAGCAATATGAAACAAAAGGTCAGGCGAGTAGAACAGAAAAAAAAAAGAAGAGGTGAGAGGAGAGGAGATGGAGCAACAGGACAGGAGAGGAGATAGATGGTCAGAAGAAAAGGGTCAAGCAAACAGGGGAGGAGTACAGGTAGGACAGTAAGGACAAGGATAGTGAGGACAAGAAAGAAAAAGAGGAAAGGGGTGTTAGATGACAGGTAAAAAGGAGGTGAAAGGGCATTAGAGGAGAAAGGATGAGGAGAGTAAGGTGAAAAGACAAGAAGAATGAGGGGGTAAAAGGACAGGAGAGTAGAAGGAGGTAAGAAGATAAGAGAGGAGAACTCTCCTACAGGCAGAGATCTACAGCCAAGTGAAACACAAATAATAATAATTAACAATTAATAACATTTTGGTAATAGTTAAGATATGTGAATGCATTTTTAAGATTTGACTCCTGAGTTTAGCGTCCCTTTAATAGTTATTTAGCCAACTTCATTATAACTGTGTACTGTGTAATAATTGTGCACATAGTGACAAACCTACAGTAAAATTTAATTTATGCTGCTTTCCTGGCACACAGAATAATGTTAAACATCTTTAGATAAAAGACAAACTGTAAGACCAAGGTGAAGTATTCCATTCATGTAGCAGATGATTATATATGAAACTCGTAGAGCAAACCTTTTAGCTCAAACATGTTGCTTATGCCTGGCAATTTGTTTAAAAATATACCTGAACATTAAATCGTACCTCTCAAAACTTTGCTTGGTCCAATACCTTCATAAAAGCTTATCACATCCACGTAATTTTCAGTATCATAAGACAAAAATTTCATATAGATGTTGAAACCATCCTTGACACTGTAAAAGAAAACAACTAGTGTAAGAATATAAAATAAATATTATTAGTAGTAGCGGAAAATTATGAAATAATTATTTAATTTTTGGTTAAAGTTTAAGGTTTTTTTTATAGTTTGAATAGAATGAAAGAACATATCTGATCAAGCCATTGAATTACATTGAAGACTAACTCCATCCTTCCGACTATGACCATTATACCTATATTCGGGGTGTAACATGAAACATGGTCATATCCACAGCCGCACAACCTCCAAATTGCCCCTTCTCTTACCAGAAACTCAGGGTCCTTCTCCCTGCAGGATTTTATAAATATACACTGAGTACCCAGATTATTATGACCACATGATGTTTGTAGGCAAATTAGCTCTAATTAGCTATAATTTTGCGCTGAGGTTTCTAGAGGGCCAGACCATTATAAATAGGGAAGCAGGTTGTTTACCACGACAGTAGAAGTGATTTTTTCTGAAGATACGGGTAAACAACGCGATTTAACAGCCTTTGAACGTGGGATGATTGTTGGCGCTCGGAGCCATGGCGCGAGTATCAGCAAAACAGCAGAATTCGTTAAATGTTCAAGAGCAGCTGTTGTTAAAGTTTTTAAAGACTGGACTGTCAGCCGAAAATCTGGGTCTGAACGTGCGAACTGTGGCCGTCAGCGACTAGTCAACGTTAGGGCAGAACGGAGAGTGACAAGACTGCTACAAGACAACAGAAGGGCAACAGTGCAGTGTCCGATTCCTCGCATCACCTTTCAACATCTCGTGGAGTCACGAGGCGGCCCAACAAAGTAATCTCGTGGAGTCATCTCGTGGCCCAACGTAGTACTGATGGGGTGGTCATAATAATCTGGCCACTCAGTGTATGAAATTGGCTCTTTCTGCACAGTCATGTTGTTCATTCACAGATCCTTTGACAGGATCTGTGAATGGAGACACTGCAAGTCTCATCTGCTACCACAGCAGAGGAGCTTAAAGTGACATTAAACCCTCAGATTTTTTAACATAAAACAATACTGCAATGTGCGCCTTACTGTAATCCATAGTTGTTTCCCTTCTCTTTGCTGCTCTTCCTTTTTTTTTTTTCAAATACATTTTTTTATTGAAAAACATAAGGTTGAAAGTCAAATAATACTATACTTTGTACAGGATTACCTATAACATAGAGCATAATAGTATAGGGTTATTAACAATGTCCAAGCATGACAAGCATGATGTCCATTGAAATTTCCTCCTGTGTAGTCCATTGTAACTTTCTCCAGTCCCTGTAACTATAGGTCTGCACCACAATACAGACGGGGGGCTGGAAGGAAGAGTTTGCAGGAGCATTGTACTGCTGATCCACTGATCATGGTTACAATGCTTAGCAGACTTCAATGCAAAAAAATCAATAAATGCACATTTTTCTTTTATGATTTCTTACAAAAGGTGAACTTTGCCTTTAAATCACAAGTACAATGTTTCATTGTTTTATGAAAATACTTAGATAATTTCATCAATGCATAAGAAAAAATGAATTCCACAAAAAGGCCATAGCTATGAATGGGGCCCAACGATGGTATGGATTAGGGGGAGAAGTGATTGATTAATGATGGAGGTCATTCAGACCGGAAAGGAAGGCAATTTCAAGATACCTGCTGTAGCTTTAAAGAGATGCAAGTTTACACTCAATTTAGAGATGCAAGTTTACACACAAGTTTGCATGCAATTTAGAGTACTCAGTTTTAGACATGTGCACTGGCAAAAAAAGTTTCGATCTCATTTGGATTGTCCGTTATTTCGTTTTTCGGGATTCATGTCCAAAAGTCAATATGTTTCGGGATTCAGATTCGGAAGAAATTCATTAGCGGCAGTCTGTACGAATTTTTGTTTCTGGATGAATATTCATTGCAGCAAAGTGACTTACAACAAAAGAAAAAAACAAAATTTTTTAGCGTGAAGAGAAAAAAAAAAGTGTGAGGTTCCCCCTCAATTGATACCTTAGTTGTTCCCCCTCAATTGATACCAGACACTTTCGGTCTGGTAGGAATGTTAGGAGAGAACCCCCAAATTTAAAAAAAAGTGCGTGGGGCTCCCCCCAAAAGCCATACTAGGCCCTTTAGGGCGTAACATCATCCCCCCCCCTCTTTCCTGCCCTGCTGGGCCTGTGCTTGGATCAAAAGTCACTTTGCTGCAACCAATATTTGTCCAGAAACGAAAATTCATACAGACTACCGCTAAAAAATTTATTTGTGAAATTTTGGTCATCGGAAATTCGGATTTGTTTTCATTCATAATTTCTGTCATTTGGAGATTCGGATATATCCAAATCTCCAAATTTCTGAAAATTCTTCAGAATAACAAATCTTTCTGAAATGAATCGCACATGTCTACTCAGTTTCAGAGTAGATGGCTTGCTACAAGTATGGGGAAAAAGGTAAAGCTGGAGTTCAGAGAACTGAAGTTAAAAAGTGAAGATTTGCTGTGTTATAAGGAACATTTAGAAATGTATATTGCCCCTAAGCTGTAAACTGAAAAAATATATCTTTTGTCTGGAATTCATCCTGAAAAATATCTGTTATGTGAAGGTGCCTAGGCATCCTGTGCTTACAGCTTCATAGCTGTATATGTCTTGTGTGAGGTCTAAGGCACTGATGCCTCTGAACACTAGTCTCAGGGGATTTGGAGTGAGATTTGGTGATGTCAGTACTATGCTGGCCACTATTGTTGTTGATGAGGGTTCTATCATAAAGAAGCAAAGCCCTGCATCTAGCAAGATGGCTTTCTTCATACAGGGACAAAGTACAAAACAAGTCATGGTAAGTTGTCAGTACCTCAATAAGTCAGTAATGGAGAAAGGATCAGCTGCAGGGAGACAACTGGCAACACTGGTGACTAGTCCATTGCCCTCTGCTTTTTTTGGGGGGGGCGCAGCTTTCAGTTTAGTTCCTCTTTAACAGCTGCTTCTGACAGTGCATGTCTAAAGGTGTAATTCCATTCAGACTGATATCTCAGCAGTGGTTAAGCAAAGGCAGAGATATTCCTCCCTCTTGGCTTTTTGTCTTGCTGTTCCTCAAAGTCAGGGAGAGGTTCCATGTGCTCTGTGCTGATGTAAGGTAGGTACACACTAAAGGCACTTTAATGTCATGTGGGTGCTCCTGCAGAGGCATAGGCAACAAGACTTGTGGCATTGATGCAACCCCTGCATAGTTGTAATGTGTGTGGTATGCTAACTTTGGCACCCCCTATTCTGACTGTACCCAGGGTAATGCTCATATTTGTGTGCCAATGCTATTTTATACTTTTTATAATAACAGGTTTCATTAGTACAATATATTGGTTATGTGTTTAGATGAAGCACTGAAATATTGAGGAATGCTGAATTAAGTTTTACTTGCTTAGAAGAACAATACACATATTATACAGCATTCTGAAGAAAACACAGAGAAAAAAAAAACATCCTGTGTATCATAGATAAGCATGCACATAGAGACTAGCATTGCAATACACTGCCATCTACAGTTAAAAGTACATATCAGTACATTAGTATATCAGTATATGCTGTTGTATTTCTAACACAATAGGGTGTTTTACAATATTTTCTAGACTGCACTTACAGTCTCCCGACTTTCTATGCTTCCTGGAGGGCACCTTAGCACAGTGGTAATTTTCCCTATAATTTTTCGCAGCACCTGTTTGGGGTATTAGTCCTACCCTCAGGACTAGTATAAAAACAAAAATCCTTCCCTGGGACTACAACCCCTAAAAGGAAGCTGAAGCATCAGTTTAAGATCAGTGTCTTTAGAGGCTGGATATAAGAGAGTGCCTGTTCCCTTCATAATGGTTTTCAGAAGACTTCACAAGCAGTTCTTCAAAGAGGAGTAAACAAGAAGTTTCTAGAGCAGATCCTAGTTGTTCTTTTTGGACATACCATGAAGGTTATTGCTAAAGGTTTCCCTGCATTGTTACACCAATCTACTGGACCCAGATATTAATTGCTGAACTACTTCTGCCACCACCTGTCTGCCTACAGCCTTTCCTGGACATCGTGTTACAGATAACTTTCTTCAGGCAGTCCTTGATACCCTTAACATTTCATCAAGCCCCTGCTTCTGGCTATTTTTTTTTTTTTTTTTAAAAACAGTTTTTATTTTCAATATAAAAGATAAATACAGCAGTAAAACAGGGACATGTTGCAAATTTAAAAGGATTCCTGGAGATGTGAAAAACATGCAGACTCGACCGAGCAATTACATAGCAAAAACACCCTAGAGGGAGGATGAGTGGGCACAGAACGAGGGGACTACCCCATGGGGGAGAGGCAAGTCTCAAAACCAGCACAAGGAGCTTAGGATCGGTAGTGATATTGGTATGGATTGCTTCTGGCTATTTTAACACTTTTTTACAAATACAAATAATTTGCTATACTTCTCAAGTAATACAAAACCCAAATAATAAAGGTCACAAGGGGACCCTCAGGGTGACATAGGACCTGTTCCTACAGGTCCACTGATGTCTAGTTATGCCATGTCTCTGGTGATCAGATAACAAAGGTTATTGTTGAGACGGACCACACGGCACCCCAACTGGGTGCCTCCATCACTATGTAGCTTCCTACACTGCTGGAATTGACTTTATTGAAAACCAGCACAGTATTTATACGGTTCTGGAGGTCTAAAAACATAACACAATGAAAACATCAAGCAAACAATCCCCTCCCTGGTGCCTTAATGAAAGAATAGGGAGAGGGAGAGGGAAAACAAATAGGATGGGGTTATTTCCTGAGTGTCTAGCATAGGTGAATCTACTCATCTACACCTAGGGCCAGCTGTGTTAATCCCATCACTAACACAATAAAACAAATGGACAAATGGACAAATAGACTGTAGCAAGTTCAATGGGAGTCTAAGTCCAGAATTAACCCCCTTTAGTGCTGCTGTATTCACATTCTGTACCTATAATGGGCACAGGGTGACTTAAATGTAATGCCAGGGGAAATATGGAGCATATCCACTCCACACATAA